CCAAAGTCAACCAGTTGGCTTTCATGCTTAAGGTGGGGCTAGAACTCACTGTCTCCTGGTGATTGGTCCAAAGTCAACCAGTTGGCTTTCATGCTTAAGGTGAGACTAGATCTCACCATCTCCTGGTGATTGGCCCAAAGTCACCCAGCTGGCTTTCATGCCTAAGGCGGGACTAGAACTCACTATCTCCTGGTGATTGGCCCAAAGTCACCCAGTCAGCTTTCATGCCTAAGGTGGGACTAGAACTCACTGTCTCCTGGTGATTGGCCCAAAGTCACCCAGCTGGCTTTCATGCTTAAGGTGGGACTAGAACTCACTGGCTCCTGGTGATTGGTCCAAAGTCACCCAGCCAGTTTTCATGCCTAAGGCAGGACTAGAACTCACTGTCTCCTGTTTTGTAGCCTAATGCCTTAACCACTAGACCAAACTGACTATCTGATATGCCAGATATGATATACCCAAATCATCCCAGATTAAGAACCATTGTATTTAGGGATCAAGACTGATTCAGCCAAGGTAACAAGAACAACAACAAAAAAACCCTTATAAGGGAGATGGAACAATCTGTTAGATAGAAATATGCCCATTCAGCCTACTTCACAAGGCAGTTGTGGAACAGCTTCTCGGTGAAAGTTGTAAGGATAAGCTGTAAAAATTACATGCATGTGCAAACAACTTTCTCCTCAACTGATGTGGTTCAAAAGCTTTGTGGACTTCAACTCCCAGAATTCCTCAGCCAGCGTGCCTGGCTGAGGAATTCTGGGAGTTGGTCCACAAGTCATAAAAGGGCCAAGTTTGAAAACCCCTGCTTTAAGCTTTTGTGAAGCTTTATTGATTCACCTTAGTGTAACATTACACCTCATTCTTAAACTACATCTTAATTATAGTTAGTGAAAATTAATCTACTCCATGAGCTATGGCTTGAATATGATTAAAATTAACGTTTTAATCTGTTTTGCCAATCCAGTTGGTAATCTCTTAGTCAGCTTCTTGTCCTAAATTGACAAGGTAAACCACAACCTGGACCACTTTAAGGTGTCTGGACTTCACCTCCCATGGATGGCTAGGGAATTCTGGGAACTGAAGTCCAAACACCTTAAAGTTGCCAAGGTTGGAGAAACACTGTGATCAATTCACAAGGTGTGTTCAATTTAAAATGAGGAAAAACTCCTTTCCGTAACACTTTGCTTAGCCCAGCTCATTCATTTTGGAAATATTTGTTCAATTTTAGAAGAGGTAACTTCACAATTATAGTGAAGGTCAGTGGTTCTCAACCTGGGGTCTGCGGACTCCTGGGAGGGGGGCGATGTCATCACAAGGGGTCCAAAAGGCTTCGAGAAATGTTATTCTTTAAATCTTAAGTCTTGGGGGTCTGTGGCCACAAAAGGTATTTACAGGGGGTCCGTGGTGAAGAAAAGGTTGAGAACCACTCGTTAAGGTCTTTAGAGAAAAACTATATTAAATGTATAGGGACTGTGATAAGGCTCATGGTAATTAACTAGCGCTAGATGTTTCATTCTTTCAATCATATTGTTTGTACTGGGCTACATTTATCACAGTTCCGTACCTTAGTTGCGTTAGTCATTGCTTCCTCCAAGAACTTAATCTTGCTCTGCAAAGCATCGATCTGCCCTCGTTTGGCTGTGATTTGCTTCTGCATCCCCATGGCAACTTTCATGGCTGTGAAAGAGAAGATTTCCGGAGCATTAGTGGAAATGTGAAAATTCTTGGCAAGAAATGGGCTAGATTTTTTTTTCCACGAATGAAGGCGAATATACGTGTCCCAGGATAATGTAGTAGGATCCAATCTGGGTCGGTCACAGGGTCCAAAGAGGTTTTGTCTTTACCGCCAGTTTATCAAGTACTTAGGAAGCGAGGGCTTGGCAGCACAAGGAAACGACGGCCAACGATTTAATAGCCAGCCATCAACACCCCAATCAACATCTAAAAAGCCACACACAACAGGCACCATACCCTGTTTCTCCGAACGTAAGGCCTACCCCGAAAATAAGCCCTAGCTTGATTTTTGGGGGTGGGCCTTGTTCTGGATCAGCCAGTTAGATGGGTCTATATGTTAGAATGTTTGGCATTTATTGGGTTAAGTGCTGTCTCCTTAAGAGATGGCTTATGGGTAATGTAGTTTAGCTAGTCAGCTTTCCCATGTTAACAGGTCAGTAGGAGGAGCTACTAAGTTTATCACAGGATATCCTGGCTACGTGCCAGTTTGGAATGCCTTTGTCTGAGATAAGCATGGGACCACCGCAGGACACACAGGGTCCCATTCCATGTTAGCAGTTGATATGGAGGAATTATTGATTTCTTACCTATAAGGATGAACAGATGTACCATATTCGGAAGAAACTACATAATTGCAAGTATACCTGAATAAATATCTGTTTTACAATCATCTTTATTGAGTTATCTGTGCTTGAATTATAAAAGCATCTTGATTCAGGTCACAGAACAGGCCTAATATAAGCCCTACCCCCAAAATAAGCCCTAGTTTTGGGGCGAGGCACACACCTAAAAATCAAGCTAGGGCAGGGTAGCAGTGTGGAGCTGCCCCATGTGCCCCGCACCCACTTCCCTTGCAGCCAGGCCTCTCCACGCTGGCCCACTTCTTCTTCTGAAGCCTCTTCTGCAGCCAGGCCTGCATTTCTCAGTCACAGCCCTTTCCTGAAGGCCTGTGCAGCCAAGAACCGACTTATGGATTCAATTCATAGCTCGGTTCTGCAAGACCTCAGCAGCCGAGCACCAGTCTATGGATTCAATCCATAGCTCGGTACTCGGCTGCTTAGGCCTTCTGGAAAGGCCTGACTGCAAAATGCAGGCCCGAATGCAGCTGCAGAACTTCAGCCCCAGAAGAAGTGGACCGGCTGGGTGGGGCTGTCAGTGCTGGAGGTGAGGTAAGGCCTACCCCGAAAATAAGACCTCTTTGGAGGCAAAAAAAAAAAGGACCCAGTCTTATTTTCGGGGAAACACGGGTATAAACACCACACACACAAAATCCCAAAGCACGTACACTGCTAGAGAGAAGTTCTCTGAGGATGGGTTCCAGGAGGAGCCCGAAAGCTCAGAAGACAAAACCTTTGGTCCCAGTGACCGACCCAGATTGGATCCTGGAAGAATTTTTCAGCGCAGAAATAACCTCATACAATTCGAGACAAAATGATGGGAATAGACCTGTAAGTTTAACCTACACATAATTCCATATACATTTTGAATGTATAAATCTAGCATAACTTGAAGGAACCTTCGCTCTTTTTAAAATCGATATGAGTGCAACACACTCCAGCAGAGAATGACAATGCATTTTGCAGTATTCCCTACTCAGATTAAAAATAAATTCCATTGCAAGCTTTCATTTATTATACCCTTATATTTGCCAACTTATAACTGTGCTGTGTGGTTTGTCTATGGCAGCTCTTCCCCAAGGAATGCTGGGAATTGTAGTTTAGTGAGAATACCAAGAATTCTCTGCTAGAGATCTCTGTATACCCAAAGAACCGAAATTCCTGCTTTTATTGGAGATAAGGAACGACACCAATTTTCAATCTCTAATGACCGCTAACTATTAATTAATGCTCGTTAACTACAGGTAGTACTCAAATTATGACCAGCCCTTTAGCGACCATTTGAAGTTACGACAGAGACCCCAAAGGTACTTATGATCCAGTTCTGAAGTTCCAACAAGCCACACACCCCATAGTCATGTGACCGCATGTCAGGCGCTCAGGAACCAGCTGACATTTATGGCCATTTGCAGCATCCCTTGGTCACATGACTGCGATCAACGATGTTTCTGCCAAAAACCAGCATTTATTTCTGGTTTTCAGCAAAAAATGCCCCGTAAGCGAACAATGGGTTTGCTTAACAACCGGCACGTTGCATGTGCCACAAAAAAAGTAAAATTGGGTGGACCCCCCTTAAGGCCATCATGACTTACGATAGTCATGAGGTCTACTTGTATGTCCCTTAACTACTCCAGATCTGTGATCGTCTCTAGCTGAGAATCAAATCATCTTATAATGTCATACTAAATCAGGGGTCTTCAAACTTGGCCCTTTTATGACTTGTGGACTTCAATTCCCAGAATTCCTCAGCCAGCATGCCTGGCTGAGGAATTCTGGGAGTTGAAGTCCAGAAATCATAAAAGGGCCAGGTTTGAAGACTCCTGTACTAAATGCTCTGATCAGATTCAATAGCATCCATGTGAAAATCTGTATGAAAACCCTTTGAGGAAAGCTAACAGGTTTAACCATTCTACCCCTTGTAAAAGAAGGAAAATAATTGTCCAAAAGGTGCTTTTTCAAAAGGAAGTTGAACTTTCTTTGTTTTTTTCCTTGAAGACATTTCGCTTGTCCTCCAAGAAGCTTCTTCAGTTCTGACAGAATGGCGGGGAATGGAAAGATTTATAGTCCTTGCAGTCATCTGGTCATTAGTACTCTCTCTGAGAATTGTGGAGGCCACTTGGAGGTTTATGTGTGCCCTCAGGGTCACATGAATCCTGTTGTCAGGAGAAAACACCTTTGGAACAACCATGACCTGGATGACTGAGAATCTCCATAGACAAAGAAAATAATTCTACACAATGAAAGTAACATGATTACCGTGGCCATCAGAGCCCTCCATGGTCTTCAAAGTGGCCCTGGTTTGCTCCAATTCAATCTGAGCCGATTTCAGCTGCATTTTCAGTTTGCTCACAATCGTTTCCATATCTTCGTTTTTCTCTCGGTAGTCATTCTTGATCACTTCTGCTTCCTCTGCAGCCAAAGAGAAACAACCGAATCAAGCCACGCGATCCTGTGTTATACTATATCCGTGTAAATAAAACCCAAAATGAATTCAGTTCAGAAGCAGAAAGACTCCTTGGGAAGTCAGTGGTTAGAATGATGAAGGTTTAGACCAGGGGTAGGCAACCTCAGCTCTTTTATGACTCGTGGACTTCAACTCCCAGAATTCCTGTGTCAGGAACTCCAGTGTTGGAGCATCCACAAGTTCTTCTGCCAGGAAATTCCTCCTTAGTTCTAGGTTGTTTCGTTCTAGTGGTATATAAGTTTAAGTACTATTGCTATTGCTACTGCTTCTCTCCTTGATGAGTTTCCATCCGTTGCTTCTTGTCCTGCCTTCAGGTGCTTTGGAGAACAGCTTGACTCCCTCTTCTTTGTGGCAGCCCCTGAGATATTGGAACACTGCTATCATGTCACCCCCTCGTCCTTCTTTTCATTTCATGTAGAGAAGGAAGAGAATGACCTTGAAGGACTGAGGGAAGATCCACCACCACTAACAGACCTTCACCCCCTCTCAATTCTCATGAAAGAAAGAGGAAAGGAAGCATATCCAGACTTTGCAAGATTCGGTTACTATCGCCGTTCTGATAAATGTAGTAGCTTCCAGGTCTACATGTGTGTGCTTCTTATTTGGGTCTATCTTATATAGAAAGTAGGGGAAAAGCTTCCCAACCAGATTCTTGATCTGGTGAATTGGGGAAGCAAGAATTTGGAAACAGTGAAGCTAATACTGGTAGCATTCTGTTTTATTTCATGTGCCGAGACTGGGTAAATTCGGGTTGGAGTGCCTGGATATGGGTATTTGAGAGATCCTGGTCAGTCCCTGGTTTAACCGTGACTTTGCTTTTACTTTTTACCTTTCAACTTTCTTCTTCGTCCCTGTCCTATATAATAAGGATTTAACTTCTTAATGGAGCTCACGGGGCTTATTCTGGAAAAGGAAAGCCTTTAGCATAGGTCAGACGGCTAAGAGAGACGAGACGGCTGCCTCTTGAGTGAACTGACTGATGGCCCCTCCCACACTGGCAATCTCCAGGAAGTGTACAGTAGGATTATGAGAAGAGGATTTGCGGATCCTTCTAGGAATCCCAACTCAATTATTTAGAAGATGTTTATCAAAGCAAGGAAAGAATGGACCGGAAAAGGGACATGTGAACTGATAAAGGGCTGCATAAGAGACGCAGGTCTGAGAGAGAGAGAAAGAGAGGGAGAGAGAGGGAGAGAGAGAGAGGGACAGAGGGAGAGAGAGAGGGAGAAAGAGAGAGAAAGAGAGAGGGGGAGGGAGAGGGAGAGAGACAGAAAGAGAGGGACGGAAGGAGAGAGGGAGATGGAGAGAGAGAGAGAAAGAGAAAGAGAGGGAGGGAAAGGGAGGGAGAGAGAGAGGGAGATGAGAGAGAGAAAGAGAAAGAGGGAGGGAGAGGGAGGGAGAGAGAGGGAGGGAGAGAGAAAGGGACGGAGGGAGAGAGAGAGAGAAAGAGAAGAAGGGAGGGAGAGAGAGGGGGAGAGGGAGCTGGAGAGAGAGAGAAAGAGAGGGAAGGAGAGGGGGAGAGAGAGAAAGAGAAAGAGAGGAGGGAGGGAGAGAGAGAGGAAGGGAGAGAGAGGGAGAGAGAGAGAAAGAGAGGGACAGAGGGAGAGAGAGAGAAAGACGAGGGAGAGGGAGCTGGAGAGAGAGAGAAAGAGAGAGAGAGGGAGGGAGAGAGAGGGAGAGAGACAGAGATTTCGTATCAACAATATGACGTTTAAGAAAACCAGAATTCCACCCTCTGGTAACAGGACAATTTGATAGCAATAGCAAATAGCACTTAGACTTACTGTACAGACAGCTCCAGAGTGCTTTTACAGCACCCTCTGAGCAGTTTACAATCTCAGTTTATTGCCACTTTATTGCCCCCAGCAATCTGGATCCTCATTTTAGCAATCTCGGAAGGATGGAAGGCTGAGTCAAGCTTGAGCCATGTCAGGATCGAACTCCAGACTGCGGGCAGAGTTTACCTGCAACGCTGCATTCTAACCACTGTGCCAATCTGATGCCTCACTAAATCAGAATTCCACCGTTTGACGTCTTCCGGGTACATATTCACATTTGGGAATGGTAAACACTGCAATCCCAAGCACCTCTAAGGGGGTGTGTGTTTCTCCACCGTGGCAAGCATGCGTGGACTTCGGCTCCCAGAATTCCCATAGCGGGCTAAAGAATTTTGGGAGTTGAAGTCCACACATCTTAAAACTGGCCCAGGTTGAGAAACACTGGTCTCGGGAGCTGAGGATAAAGAATGAATGAAAGAAAGACAAAAATACCTGCTAGTGCAGAGAGCTCAATGCGACTGGCTTTTATTTCATTCACAAGTTCTTCTCGCTCCAGTTTCATCTCTTTCAGGGCCCGCAGCCTTTCCGAGCACACGTTCATCAGTTTCACCTTTTCTAATTCCATGTCGCTCAGGCTGGCCTCCAACTCACGAATCTGGCTCTCTTTCTTGTCTTGAGAAATCTAGGTGGGAAAAAGCACGAAAGACCAGGCCCAGTATGTTAGATAAGTTTGCTTGTGGCTACGTAGGGATTCTAGGCTGGTTCCTCATCTCACTCTACCTCCAGATTCTAGTCATTCCTTCTCCTTCACCTCTGTATTTGTCCTGAACAATCGCCAGGTGGCTGTTTTCAAGAATGAGAACGGTGAAAGGCTTAATGCTTTAGGGCAGGGCTTTTCAACCTTTTCACCCATTGTACCACTTTTAGGATATGGCAATATCCGAGTACCACCAGTCGCCTAGCAAGGTGTCAAAAACTTGATGATCAAACAAAAAAAAAAGAGGAAAAAAAGTGATAAAAGTACAGGTAGTCCTCGACTTACAACCGTTCACTTAGTGACTGTTCGAAGTTACAATGGCACTGAAAAAAGTGCCCCCCAAGCCACAGCAGAGCAAGACACCTGCCTGCCCGCCTGGCCGCGCTCTTCCTCCTGTCCGAGGTTTTCATTGTTGTGAGCATTTCTGTTGAAGATTGGCAGTGGGGGTGGGGTGGGGGGGTGTTTGGTTTTTATTCCCCCCTGTCTGCTGGGTGGTTGCAGCAGGTTTTGGTCACTTCACATGATCCTGGGACACTGTGACCGTCATAAATATGAATCAGTTGCCAAGCATCTGAATGTAAATCACAAGACCCTGGAGATGCTGCAACATTCCAGCTGATCGGCGCTTCTTCTGGGCTCAGCAGAAGCACCAGGATCAGCACTGAGCTCCAGCTGGAGTCTGGCGCTGATCCTGGCGCTTCCACTGAGCCCTGACAGTCCCGAAGAAGTGCTGATCCTGGCGCTTCCGCTGAGCCCTGACAGCCCTGCAGCTCCAGCCGTCTCTCGCTCAGGTTTGTGCGGTGCTGCCACCGGTTCAGCTCATTCCCTCTCCCCCACTACCACTTTTCTAGGATGGTCGTGTACCACCTGCCAGGTGCCAATGCACCACAGGTGGTACCTGTACCACTGGTTGAAAAGCCCTGCTTTAGGGCAGCAGAATGACTGCATTGCAGCTGTCAAAAGACAGAGCATTCAGCCAAGGAGAAGGGATGGAGTTATTCCCAACCTAGGTGGACAGCACTAGCTTGGAAAACTTGGAATTAACCCTAGGACAGCTAGTCCACAATTTACAACCATTCATTTAGTGACCGTTCAAAGTTACAATCATTGCAGCTTCCCCATGGTCAGGGGTAGGCAACCTCTGCCCTTTTATGACTCATGGACTTCAACTCCCAGAATTCCTGAGTCAGCTATGCTATGCAGACTCAGGAATTCTGGGAGTTGAAATCCATGAGTCATAAAAGAGCAGAGGTTGCCTACCCCTGACCATGGTCATATGATCAAAATTTGGACTCTTGGCAACTGATTCACATTTATGACCGTACAGGTAGTTCTCAACTTACAACAGTTCATTTAGTGACCATTAAAAGTTACGTCACTGAAAAAAGCGACTTGTGACTGTTTTTCATACTTACAACCCTTGCAGCATCCCCATGGTCATGTGATCCAAATTTGGACGCTTGGCAACTGACTCGTATTTACGACGGTTGCAGCGTCCCGGGGTCACGTGATCCCCTTTTGCGACCTTCTGACAAACAAAGTCAGTGGGGGAAGCCAGATTCGCTTAACCACCTGAACAACTGCAGTGATTCGGTGTCAAGGAAGGTCGTAAAATGGGGCAACGTTTATTTAAAAGCTGTCTCGCTTAGCGACAGAAATGTCGGGCTCCATGGTGGTCGTAAGTCGAGGACTGCCTGGGATCAAAAAGGAAAGACGCGCCTTCAAGAAGAGGCAAGAGAGTGAAACTTAGGCACCTTCAGTTCTTGGACTTCGACCTTCTTCTCGCTGACTTCTTTTATGAGCTGAGACTTCTCCGTCTCTATGGCGCCAGCCGTCCGGCCATGTTGGCTTACGATCTCGGTCATGCTCTCGATTTGCTTCTGGAGGATCTCAATCACCTTCTCCTTCTCCATCAGCTGCACCTTCAGCGACTCGCAGTCGGACTGCACGCTTCGCAGGAGCTCGCTTTCGCTTTTCAGCTGCTGGAACTCCTGCCGTTTGCTATCCACCCGTCCGCGCAGCTGCTGGATCTCGTCATTGGTGTGTTCGATGACTCTTTCCTTCTCCAGGTGGGAAGACCTGAGATCGGCGATGACCCGCTCTGCCGAGTCCAGACTTAATTTTCTTTCGCTCAGTTCTTGGGCAGTTTTGTGGAGCTTATCTTTGGTGGAATTTAGCTGGGCCAGGATGGAAGATTCCCTCTCTAGGCTGTCGTTCCTCTCTTTAATTGCAGACATCTGGAAAAAAAGAAAAAAAAGAAAGATATACTGTTTGCCCAAGGCTTTCACCCCGTTGAAGGAGATTATCCCAAATGGAGCAGAACTAGCAAGAGCAGTGTTTCTCAACCTTGACAATTTTAAGGCATGTGGACTTCAACTCCCAGAATTCCACAGCCAGCAATGCTGGCTGTGGAATTCTGGGAGTTGAAGTCCACATGCCTTAAAATTGTCAGGGTTGAGAAACACTGAGCAAGAGGAGTGGGCACAGATGACACCAAACTGGCAGGAGTAGCCAAAACCCCAGAAGACAAACTCAGGATCCAAAAAGATCTTGGCCAACTCGAACCATGGGCCCTATCCAATAAAATGAGTTTCAATGAGGAGAAAAGCAAAGTCTTACGTTTAGGCAGGAAAAACCAAAGGTACAAATACAGACTGGGTAAGACCTGGCTAAAAACAGTAGCTGTGAGAGGGACCTTGGAGTCCTAGTGGATGATCACTTGACTATGAGCCAGCCGTGTGCAGCAGTAGCAGCCAAAAAAGCTAATACAATCCTGGGTTGTATAAACAGAGGCATAGAATCAAGATCACGTGAAGTATTATTACCGCTTTTATAAAACCCTAGTAAGACCACACCTGGAATACTGCAGCCAATTTTGGTCACCATATCCCAAAAAAGATGTTGAGAGTTTGGAAAAAAGTCAGAGAAGAGCAACTAAGATGATCAAAGGCCTGGAGACTAAAACATACGAAGAATGGCTGCGGGACTGGGGTTAGGCTAGTCTAAAGAAAAGAAGAAATAGGGGAGACATGATAGCAGTGTTCCAGTATCTGAGGGGTGGCCACAAGGCAGAGGGGGGGCAGGTTGTTCACCAGAGCACCAGAAGGAAGGACGAGAAACAATGATTGGAAACTGATCAAGGAGAGAAGCAACCTGGAGTTAAGGAGAAACTTCCTGACAGTGAGGACAATCAACCAGTGGAACAGCTTACCCCCAGAAATCGTGGGCACTCAGTCACTGGAGATTTTTAAGAAGAGACTGGACATTCACCTGTCTCAGAAGGTGTAGGTTCTCCTGCTTGACCAGGGGGCTGGACTAGAAGACCTCCAAGGTCCCTTCCAGCTCTATTCTATTCTATTCTATTCTATTCTATTCTATTCTATTCTATTCTATTCTATTCTAGATCCAATATCTATTCTATTCTATTCTATTCTGTTCTATTCTAGATCCAATATCTATTCTATTCTATTCTATTCTATTCTATTCTATTCTATTCTATTCTATTCTATTCTATTCTATTCTAGATCCAATATCTATTCTATTCTAGATCCAATATATATTCTATTCTATTCTATTCTATTCTATTCTATTCTATTCTATTCTATTCTATTCTATTCTATTCTAAATATCCTTAGCTATAAAATTTGGAGGAATGAAATGGACATTTACTTATTTATTTTTCACTTTTTTAACCCGCCACAGTTCAAAGACTCTTGACAGCTTGCATAGAATAACAAAGCATGTGTGGTATAAGGTTTCATAAAAACAAGGGCCACTGAGCGTATTAATGTAGACCACAAAAGTAGAAGTTATGAATAGAATAATAACTAAATAGTGCCATCAGCATTGACAAATTCACCATCCGTCAGTTGCGAACGGCAGCTTTACCCAGAACAGCTTACATCCTGCCATACCTCCGATGCCACAAAACATCTGCAGCTGTCTATCCCGAGACTCGATGGGTGGATTAAAAATGTCAAATCCGGTCTGAACATGTGACCGATTTGTGCGCCGAACATAATAATAATAATAAAATAAAATAATACACGTAGTCCTCGACTTACAACAGTTCATTCAGTGACCGTTCAAAGTCACAATGAAACTTATGACCATTTTTCACACTTAAAACCACGGCAGCATCCCCCTGGTCATGTGATCAAAATTGCATGCTTTGACAACCGGGTTCATATTTATGACAATTGCAGTGTTCCCAGGGTTATGTGAACAGTTTTTGTGATCTACTGACAAGCAAAGTCAATGTGGAAGCCAGATTCACTTAACAACAAGGTTATTAACTTAACAACGGCAATGGTTTAGCTTAACAACAGTGGCAAGAAAGGTCATAAAATGGGGCAAAAACTCACTTAACAAATGTTTCAGTTAGCAACATAAAAGTACAGAGTACAGAGAAGAGCAACAAAGATGATTAGGGGACTGGAGGCTAAAACATATAAGGAAAGGTTGATGGAATTGGGTATGTCTAGTTTAAAGAAGAGAAGGACGAGGGGGGACATGATAGCAGTCTTCCAATATCTCAGGGGCTGCCATAAAGAAGAGGGAGTCAAGCTATTCTCCAAAGCACCTGAAGGCAGGACAAGAAGCAACGGATGGAAACTAATCAAGGAGAGAAGCAACCTAGAACTAAGGAGAAACTTCCTGACAGTTAGAACAATTAACCAATGGAACAACCTGCCTCCAGAAGCGGTGAATGCTCCAACACTGGAAGTTTTTAAGAAGAGACTGGACAGCCATTTGTCCGAAATGGTATAGGGCAGGGGTAGGCAACCTTGGCTCTTTTATGACTCATGGACTTCAACTCCCAGAATTCCTGAGCCAGCATGGCTCAGCTTGGAAACCTCTCCCTTTCCCCTCAGCATGGCTGGATCAGGAATTCTGGGAGTTGAAGTCCACGAGTCATAAAAGAGCCAAGGTTGCCTACCCCTGGTATAGGGTTTCCTGCCTGAGCAGGGGGTTGGACTAGATGACCTCCAAGGTCCCTTCCAACTTTACTATTATTATTATTATTATTAAGTTTTGGGCTCAATTGTGAGCCAAAATCTGGGACTGCCTGTGTCGTGCTGCCCCCTGCAGGCAGTTGAGAAAACAACCACATGATGTGTCCCACCAAGTGTAAAAGGCATTTTATGATGGGCACAATTTTCTGCTCTTGCTTTGTCTTGTCTTCCTGCGCGTAGGACCCAACAGAACCCCAACTTGCTTCCCTGGTTCACATGGATGTTTATTCCAGGCATGAGGCCAAGACAAAGGAGTCCTTGTTTGAACAGCAGCAATATTTCATAATCAAATAAAAACGCATCAGGGCATCTTAATCTCCTGCTATCCTTTCTTCTTGCAATGTGCGGCTGTGAAAGTTGGACCATAAGAAAGGCTGAGCGCCGAAGAATGGAGGCCTTTGAACTATGGTGCTGGAGAAGACTCCTGCGAGTCTCCTGGACTGCAAGGCGATCAAACCGGTCAGTCCTACAGGAGATCAACCCCGACTGCTCTTTAGGAGGCCAGATCCTGAAGTTGAACGTCGAGATAAGGGATGCTCTTGCTTCAGAGAGCAGGGCACACAATCCCCTCGCACGCTCAGATTGGCCTGCCTATTTGCGCGTCTGAAACGATGCGGTGGCAAGTCACAAGATTTCCATCTGGCAAATTCAATCCTCTCCCTCTTTTCCTTCACCTAGGCCTGCGCCATTGTTTTCAGGCTCTTGTTGGTATCATTACTGTGATTATTATTACTCTGTGGTTTTGCATGAACACGCTTTTCCTGGGAAATATGTAGTGTAGTAGTCTTCCCTTTGCTTTCTACACCGCTGTGCACACGCTGTTCAAGTGGCTGCCACCACACCGTGTGCTGTTCTTCTGAATCCGTTCCAACCAACATGGTCTCCGCCTTCAGTCGATACTGGGGAGCCAGCTGCCACTCACCAGGCCTGTTGGTCCACGGGAGGTATTTGATTCCCTCCAACCCGCCATTACAGTATAAAGCAGGGGTAGGCAACCTTGGCTCTTTTATGACTGGTGGACTTCAACTCCCAGAATTCCTGAGCCAGCCATGCTGAGGGGAAAGGGAGAGGTTTCCAAGCTGAGCCATGCTGGCTCAGGAATTCTGGGAGTTGAAGTTCACAAGTCATAAAAGAGCCAAGGTTGACTACCCCTGCTATAAAGCCATAATGGGTAGGGCCTCTCAATCCGCCACCCGGGGACGCGCTCTGTGGGGGTTCCAGGCTCTGACAGAAGGCCACCTGAAGAGACTAGAAGCATTTGAAATGTGGATTTACAGGTGGCTGTTACGTATAAGCTGGGTTGACATGATCAGAAATGAGGAGGTGATCAGACGCCTGGGAAAGCCAAGGGAAATCATCAAAACAATTAAAAAACGAAAATTAGAATATTTCGGGACATGTGATGCGACACCCAGAAAAATACGGCATACTCCATTTAATCCTCCAGGGCAGTGGTGGTGAACCTATGGCACGGGTGCCAGAGGCAGCACTCAGAGCCCTCTCTGTGGGCACGCGCGCCGTCGCCCCAGTCCTAGGCCTTCAGCTGGGTTTTATAAAATCTTTTCGCTTTAGGCCTCCGCCGCCGTGTGCAAAAAAAAAAAAAAAGTTCAATCAGTCAATTTCAACTTCTCACGGGGAAAAAAAAGATCTTGCAAAGTTGGAATTGATTGATTGAACTTTCCCACACAGTCTGCCATTACCACCGCAGCCACGCCCACCCAATGGGCCACACCCACTCAATGGGCCACACCCACCCGGCACTTGACGATGCATAAGTGGGTTTTGGGTTGCAGTTTGGGCACTCAGTCTCTAAAAGGTTCGCCATCACTGCTCCAGGGAAAGATTGGAGGCAAACGAGGTCCAGGCAGAAGAAGAACATCGTGGCTTCAAAATCTAAGGGACCGGTTGGGACAAAACTCAGCAGCCCTTTTTCGTGCGGCTGCTGATAAAAACAGGATCGCCAACATGATCGCCAACGTCCGATAACGGATATGGCACAAGAAGAAGAAGAAGTGGCTTTGCATGTACACGGAGAACTTCTGCACCAGAGACAAATTCCTTGTGTGTCTACTCACATTTGGCCAAATAAAACATTCTAGAAGTTGGGGAAACGCTCCAGTTCTGGGGTTTGGTGGGGACCATCTTTCTTTTCTGACCTGACGTTGAATTTGTCCTTCACACTCCATCTGCAGGGACCTCACGATGGAGTCCAGGCGCTGCAGCTCCATGTTTTTGTTGTCCAGCTCCCTCCGCAGATTGTCGATGGTGATGCTGCTCCCGGTGTCTCGATCCCAGAGCCTCTTGTTCTGCTCCTTTTCCAGATTCAGCTCTACGTCTTTCTTGTGGAGCTCAGCCTGCGAGGCAAAAGCAACCCGTTAAGCAAAGCTTCATAGTTTCTGAATGTGGAAAAAACGAAACCCTTTTTAAAGGCATGGAAGATGTACAGGTAGCCCTCGACTTACGACCATAAGGGAGCCCAACATTTCCGTTGCTAAATGAGACGCTTGTGAAGCGGGTCTTTGTTTCCCATTTTACGACGTTTCTTGCCACCGTTAAGTGACTCTACAGTTGTTAAATTAGTCATAGTTAAGTGAATCTGGCTTCCCCCTAGACTTTGCTTGTCAGAAGGCCGCAAAAAGGGGAACCCATGATTCCCCAAGACCAGGGATAGGCAACCTTGGCTCTTTTATGACTCGTGGACCTCAACTCCCAGAATTCCTGAGCCAGCCATGCTGAGGGGAAATTGAGAGGTTTCCAAGTTGAGCCACACTGGCTCAGGAATTCTGGGAGTTGAAGTCCACGAGTCATAAAAGAGCCAAGGTTGCCTACCCTTGCCCAAGACATTGCAGCCGTCATAAATACGAGTCGGTTGCCAAGCGTCTGAATTTTGGATGACTATGGGGATGCTGCAAGGGTCGCAACTGTGAAAAACGGTCATAAATCACTTTTTTCAGTGCCGTCGTAATTTGGAATGGTCACTGAATGATCTGTTGTAAGTCGAGGACTACCTGTCATCTAGGAGCAGCCCAATCCTAAGCAAACTAAACATGTTCACACTCAAATAAATAAATAAGTTAAGCTCAGCCAAGGAAATAAAGCTGAAAGGAAAAATTAGTATGATTTACAATCTAATAAGCAAAATATCTAATGGTCTGCCTAGTCTCGGAGGCAGAAGCTGGTAACTCCAGAAACACGGCTGTCTCCTTGGATTAGACTAGGGGTATTCAAACTTGGCCCTTTTATGACTTGTGGACTTCAACTCCCAGAATTCCTCAGCCAGCGTGCCTGGAAAGATGTAAAGATAACAGGTTCCTTTCTCTCTTGCTGCTCATTTCTTTTACCATCTTCCTTTTCATGTCCCAAACTGGGCTTTTGCTTCACACTGCAGGCCGACCTTCCTTCCTTCCTTCCTTCCTTCCTTCCTTCCTTCCTTCCTTCCTTCCTTCCTTCCTTCCTTCCTTCCTTCCTTCCTTCCTTCCTTCCTTTTTCTTTCTTTCTTTCTCTCTTTCTTTCTTTCTTTCTTTCTTTCTTTCCTTCTTCCTTCCTTCTTTCTTTCCATTCCTTCTTTCCTTCCTTACTTTCTTCCATCTGTCTCTGTCTGCCTGTCTGTCTGTCTGTCTGTCTGTCTGTCTGTCTGTCTGTCTGTCTGTCTGTCTGTCTGTCTATCTATCTATCTATCTATCTATCTATCTATCTATCTATCTATCTATCTATCTATCTATCTTATCTATCTATCTATCTATCTATCTATCTATCTATCTATCTATCTATCTATCTATCTATCTATCTATCTATCTATCTATCTATCTATCTATCTATCTATCTATCTATCTATCTATCTTCCTGTCACATGAATATCTGATGGATTGAATACAAGTGAGTCCTTGTCCCAAAGTCACTTTGCAAACTTGAAATATTCTCAACATTTGTCTCATTGAACCTGATGGATTTTTTTTAACCCCTTACTGGGGTAGGAGAAGATACATGAAAATGATCCCGTGAACAGGAAACTGTCCTAAACAATCACACACACACACACACACACACACACAAAACATTGACCAATTAACACCAATAAGATTTATTTAACAACATCCACTATAGAGATAAGCAAAGTATCTAAGTAGATATATCATACCAAGAGGTGCATGTATAGTTAGTTCCCTTTGATGAGATGGGCAGCATACAAGTTTGATTGATTGATTGATTGATTGATTGAATGAATGAATGAATAAATGAATGAATGAATGAATGAATGAATAAATAAATAAATAAATAAATAAATAAATAAATAAATAAAAGTCAAGAACATGTACTCTCTGCATGTATGCCAGAAAAAAAGCAATTCAAGTTTAGTAATATCTTAGTAAGCAGTGTGACACAGGGGAGTGGGAGAGTAAATTTGCAACTCTTTACCTACACCCCACTGAGTGCCGCTGAAGTTGGAAATGTGAATGCGTGACATGTATCATGAAGATGAGTTTGGCCTTCTACCTTAAGATCTAACACTCTGAATTCCTCACAGAGTCATGGGATTTGAGCCACTTAGCTAGATTATGAGCCCCAAGATTTACAAAAGCCGTTTTTAATTGAGGCGCTCCTGTGTCAGATTCCTACCAACAACTGCTGAACCTCATCATCTAAGTTTCCAGATTCTTGGCTGTATTGATCCCTTTCAATCTGAGCTTCAGTCATCTCAGAGTGAACCAGATGCAGCTGCTTCTCCAGATCTTCTATCTAAAGTATTAACACAAAAACACACTCAGAAACTACCCTCGGAGGGGCATAGAATGCAGATTCCTAAGAATCTCAGTGTTTTCGTTTTACTTATTGAGTGACAATGTAGTGATGAGTTTCCCTTATTTGAAAATTCATAATAGGGTGACATATCGCTTGTACAGTCTACTAGAAATGTCACAAAAGAAATGTGTAAGATCTGGATTCTCTAGAACAGGTCTTCATAGTTTGTTTCTGCAGGAAATTCAGAGCACCCCTGATTCTCATGGGTTTCTGGAAAGCCATTAAGATCTGTCTTTTCTCCCAGGTGAACTTTGAAACATCTCACCCCCCCCCCCAAACAGGTAGATCCGTAGAAATTTCAAACAATTGTTAAGCTACTCGTCCTAAGTCAAAGACTACTTGACCGACGATTTTTATAGTGGTTTAGAATACAGGTAGTCCTCATTTTACAACCACAGTTGAGCCCAAAATTGTTACGTGAATTTTGTCCCATTTTATGACCTTTCTTGCTCCAGTTGTTAATAAGTTAGTAAAAAGTTTGTTGACTTTGCTTGTCAGAAGGCCACAAAAGGTGATCGATCACGTGACCCCAGGGCACTGCAACCGTCATAAATATGAGTCAGCTGCCAAGCCTCTGAATTTTGATCATGTGACCTTGGGGATGCTGCAACGGTCGTAAATGTGAAGCACAGTCAAAAGTTGCTTTTTCTGAGGGCCGTTTGTAACTTTGAACGGTCACTAAATGAACTGTTGTGAGTTAGCAAACGAGCTGCATTTAGAACCAGCAAGGTAAAAATTCACCCAAATTTCAAAGGTCACCCACACTCTTCTTGTGCTTTACCTTGTCCTGGGACATCCTCATTCCTTCCCGTAGCTCAGAGCGCAGTTGGGATATCGTGCCTTCCAGCTGGCTGATCTGACGCAAATACAAAGATTTCTGATTTTTGGCTTGTTCTCTGAGGATAAAGAGAGGAAATAAACCCAAATGAGAATCGAAAATATTCAGGAGCAGACAGCGTGGTGAGACAGGTGAGAATAACGGTTGTAATCTAAGCAGTCAAGGAGGTTTGAAAAATCACTGCCAAAAATGCAGTTTTGTAGTTATGACAAATATATATATATAAACTGACAAACCTGTTTCCCCTCCCCAAACATCCAGCTCTTCAAATTGCATATATATATATATATATGTGATCCAGATTGTTGGGGGCAAGATGCTGACTCTGTAAACTGCTTAGAGATGGTTGTAAAGCACTGTGAAGCGATATATAAGTCTAAATGCTATTGCTATTTTTGGCAGTGATAGATAGATGGATGGATGGATGGATGGATGGATGGATGGATGGATGGATGGATGGATGGGTGGGTGGGTGGGTGGGTGGGTAGGTAGGTAGGTAGGTAGGTAGGTAGGTAGGTAGGTAGGTAGATAGATAGATAGATAGATAGATAGATAGATAGATAGATAGATAGATAGATAGATAGATAGATAGATAGATAGATAGATAGATAGATAGATGTTTATGGCAGTAATAGATAGGTTAATAGATAGATAGACAGACAGATAAATATAGATATATAAATGTTTTTGGCAGTGATAGATAGATTAATAGATAGACAGATATATATAGATATAGATATAGAAATGTTTTTGGCAGTGATAGATAAATAGATAGACAGACAGACATATAGATATAGATATATAAATGTTTTTGGCAGTAATAGATAGATTAATAGATAGATAGACAGTCAGATAGATATAGATATAGATATATAAATATTTATGGCAGTAATAGATAGGTTAATAGATAGATAGACAGTTAGATAGATATAGATATAGATATAAATGTTTATAAATGTTTATAATGTTTATAAAAACAAATGTTTATAATGTTTATAAAAACATTTATAAATGTTTTTGGCAGTGATAGATAGATAGATTAATAGACAGATATATATAGATATAGATATATAAATGTTTTTGGCAGTGATAGATAAATAGATAGATAGACAGACATATATAGATATAGATATATAAATGTTTTTGGCAGTAATAGATAGATTAATAGATAGATAGACAGTCAGATAGATATAGATATATAGATATAGCTATAGATATATAAATGTTTTTGGCAGTGATAGATAGATAGATTAATAGATAGAGATATAGATATAGATATATAGATATAGATGAAATATAGAGATAGAGATAGATGTTTTGCAGTGACTGCATTTTTGGCAGTGATATGATATATATATGATATTATATATATGTGTGTGCAATTTGAAGAGCTGGATAAATGTTTGGGGAGCGGGAAGCAGTTCGTTGTCAGTTTGTACAGGCCATTGTGCATTGTGTCTCCTATGCCTCCGAGTGGCAGGAGCACGGGACAAAGTATCAGAAGAAAGGTCACCACGCTCTGCTTAAGGCTTTCTCTTTAATTCGTCGGCTGGAATTCCTGAAACAAGAGTTCCAGTGGACAGACTGGGACTCTCACATTCTCAGCTGATGTCTAGGGAGATTGTCAATCATCCAAGCCCTGTTTGTCCCAAAGATGCTTTTTCCAAAAGGCAACTGGACTTCTTTCAGAACTGAAGAAGCTTCCTGCATGAGAAGCGAAACGTTGTCAAAGGAAAAAAAAACAACAACCTCCAGTTGCCTTTGGGAAAAAAGCATCTTGGGGATTCTCAGCCGATGCAAAATTATAGCTCTGGTTGTCCAGCCTGCCATGAGACTTAAGATAATTCTCTATTTCGTTTTTGAAATCAAAGACCTGTCTCGAGGTCTCTCAGTGAGCCTAACAGAGTAGCTGAAAGTGACTTACTGGAACCGCAGTGAAATGCATAAACAATAAGCCAGGATTGATGGAGATGCCGGCTTAGCAGCAGCAATGAAACCCTCCCTACACATACAAACATTTTCATACATACATAGTGAAGGGATTTTATTATGCTTAAGTTGATATTAGTAATATTGATATTAGTAGTGATATTTTGTAATTATATATATATATATATTCTGAGGTTTTCGCGGGTGTTTGTATGTAGGTCTTTGGTTATTCGGGTTTTCTCCCGCGTAAAATTGGAAGTGTCTTGGCGACGTTTCGACAGTGAGGACAATCAACCAGTGGAACAGCTTGCCACCAGAAAACGTGGACGCTCCATCACTGGAAGTTTTTAAAAAGAGACTGGACAATCACCTGTCTGAGATGGTATAGGTTCTCCTGCTTGAACAGGGGGCTGGACTAGAAGACCTCCAAGGTCCCTTCCAGCTCTATTCTATTCTGTTCTGTTCTGTTCTGTTCTGTTCTGTTCTGTTCTGCTCTGTTCTATTCTATTTTTAAGTTCTTTTGTATTATCTTTTTATATTTTTATTATGCTGTGTGTAAGCCACCCAGAGTCATTGTCACAGTCAGATGGGTGGCATAGAAATTTAACAAATAAATAAATTATTACAACGCACGCAGCCAGGTTGCTTCTGCTGAAGATGGAGTCAAGTGCCACTGTTAAATCCTAACACTGGTGTAGTATTTTTCAAACTTGGTAACTTCAAGATGGGTGGAGCTCTCCTCCCAGAATTCTTATGTACCCCTGGAATATATAGATTTTCTTTTTAACTGAAGTTGGGAAGGCAGAATGAAAAAAAAAAAAACCCTGTTCCCTGTCCAGATCTCTTTCAACCAAAGTTAATGAGACAAGGTTAGTAAAAAGTCAATCCCTCATACCGGTAGTAACACAATCCATCCAAACCAATTACAATAATTCCCTGAGAACATTTGCTTTAGATGTCTATGGAGATTCTCAATCACCCAAGTCATGGTTGTCCTTAAAGATGCTTTTTCCAATAGGCAACTGAATTTTCTTGGTTTTTTCCCCCTTTGAAAACATTTTGCTTGAGCTGGAACTGAAGAAGCTTCCTGGATGAGAAATGAAACTTTTTCAAAGAAAAAAAAAAAACCAAGAAAGTCTAGTTGCCTTTTAGAAAAAAAAAAAGTGCTTTGGAACAGGGGTCTGCAACCTTGACAACTTTAAGACTTGTGGATTTCAGCTCCCAGAATTCCTGACTGAGGAATTCTGGGAGCTGAAGTCCACAAGTCTTAAAGTTCTCAAGGTTGCAGACCCCTGTTCTGGGACATTTGCTTTAGATGTGGTGGCTGAGGAATTCTGGGAGTTGAAGTCCACAGGTCTTAAAGTTGCCAGCTTTTGAGAAACGCTGCTTGAGAACATTTGCTGGGATGCTCTTTGGAAGAGTATTACGTACTGAATGATTTCCATCTGGCTTTGAATATTGTTGGCGTGGCTGTGGGAAGCCTTCGCTGCCTCCCTCAGGACTTCCAAATCCTGTTCGTGGTCCCCGATCAGCCTTTCAATGCTGTTATTAAAAAACAAACAAGCCATAAACCAGGGGTCTTCAAACTTGGCTCTTTTATGACTTGCGGACTTCAACTCCCAGAATTCCTCAGCCAGACACGCTGGCTGAGGAACTCTGGAAGTTGAAGTCTGCAAGTCATAAAAGGGCCATAAAGTAATAGCAATAAGACATCTGTGGTCTAATATGTTGATTATCTATCACCAAGCTTTAGCAGGATCAAGTTAGAAATCTGGAATAAAACAGGGCAAATAGGAAAAAAAATATAATTTGCCATGAGAATATAGTTCCCTCCCACTGTTGTTCTAAAACAGGGGTGTCCTACCTTGGCAACTTTAAGACCTGTGGACTTCAATTCCCAGAATTCCCCAGCCAGCATGGCTGGCTGGGGAATTCTGGGAGTTGAAGTCCACAAGTCTTAAAGTTGCCAAGGTTGGACACCCCTGATCTAAAACTGTCCCTTCTTCCTTTCTCTTGTAACAATGAATGGCTGCTGTACATGCCTTCACCAGAATAATCTAAATAATAATAATAATAATAATAATAATAATAATAATAATAATAATAATAATAATAATAATAATAATAATAATAATAATTAATAATAATAGAATAATCAGTCTCTTTGGGGAAACCCCTGGTTCTTAATTTTATTAAGCAACCTAGGAACTGAGTATCTTTTACGACACAGCTCCCCCAAAATTTTTGATGAGCTTCTTCTCCAAGTTCCATCTCTTAGGAGATCTAGATTGGCCTCTATCATATCTTTCTCAGGAGTAATTCTGATGCCGTGGGAATTTTTTCAACAGATGTTCTTTCAGTCTTTTTCTAATTACCCTCCCACCCATAAATTTAAAAAAAAATAAATTTCGTGCTGCTTTTGCTAAGAGCTGATTAAAACTTCCTGTGGCCATCAAGTACCCTTCTGTCTTTCTGCTTCTCTGTTTATTTTTTATAAAGCTCTAACTTTCTGGTTTTATTCTGCTTTTGACTGACTGCTTCGGATTTCATTGTTTTGTGTGTGTGAAATGTTTTCTTTTTCATAATACAGGTCCTCGACTTACAACCCATTCATTTAGTGACCCTTTGAAGTTACAACTGCACTGAAAAAAAGTGATTAATGAACGGTCCTCGCACTTACGGCCACTGTAGCATCCCCACAGTCAGGTGATCAAAATTTGGGTGCTTGGCACTTATTTATGACAGTTGATTCACTGAACAACCATGGAAAATCAGATGCAACAACTGCCTTTCTTGACAACCGTCATTGTGGTTTGTAAGTCAAGGACTATCTGTGATCTGCTGTGGGAACCTTCTGGATGAGTGGTACGAAAACAATCTAAAATGCATTTAAAATTAAGAAACCAGAACCAGCGTACCTGTCCTGATGTTGCTGAAGCAAAATTTCCGTTTTCGACTGTGATTCTCTTTGCATCATATCCATTTGCTGTTCCAGCTAATAAAATGTCACAAGTTGTTGTTAATTAGACAATTATTCTAATACAGGCAATTATGTAGCATGATATTTTCCTCAGTAATCAAAGCTTTGTGGCCCATTTATGAAACAAGGGGGCTAAGGCAGAGAAGAGGAACAGCCTAACTTTGTTGACTATCTATTTTCACACTGAGACACTGACAATAATTTTCAGGCTGCCTCCGGACAATATTTCTTTTATCTTACTTCTAAGATAAAGATAGCATAAGATGGCCCCTTACTCCTGCTTCCTTGGGCCATGTGCATTTCCAAAGGACAACCTCTCCAAATTCTTAGCCAGCATAGCAAACACTACTAGATACAGTATTAGTGGTTAGAACAGTGTTTCTCAACCTTGACAATTTTAAGGCATGTGGACTTCAATTCCCAGAATTCCACAGCCAGCAATGCTGGCTGTGGAATTCTGGGAGTTGAAGTCCACATGCCTTAAAATTGTCGAGGTTGAGAAACACTGGTTAGAAAATTCAAGAATTTTGTCTGCTTGCTAAAGACTTCCCCCGATGGCCTAAGCTGCTGCACAGACTAGCAGGACATCATTTTAACTATCAGGTACTTAACAGCTCTCCAGATGTGGCTGAGCCGTAATTCAATCTCTATTGGCAAAGGATGCTAAGATTTATAGCATCCTCAGGTCCCTAGGGCAGTGATGGTGAATCTTTTAGAGACCGAGTGTCCCAAAACCGCCGCCGCCCCACACGCCCGCCCACAGGGCAACTCACCACCTCCATGGCTCGCTGCAGATCGCCCAGGTGGCCCAGCAGCACCATGGTGGCCATGCCCTCTGCCCACGTCCCGCAGCATCAACTGCGCGCGACAGGGTGCGAGGGCGGAGTCTTGTCCCTGCTGCCCGGCTGCCATGTCCTTGGCTGCGCTGCTCCGCGTGGGCTGTGCTCAAGGGCGACTCTTCTCTGGGGGGCTGCTGGTGAGGAGGGGGCCGTGGGAGGAGGCAGGGCTGGGGTGACGGCACACGTGCCCACCGAGAGGGCTCTGAGTGCCGCCACTGGCACGCGTGCCTTAGGTTTACCACCACTGCCCTAGGGTGTCTACTCTTGACCTCATAGGTCTCAGCAATTGTCCTGTATCACAGAACTTATAATGGTGCAACATTCTCCAAAACCGAATCAGATCATTTATTCACTTTGCTGGCTGGTCAATTTTCTGTGGAAATGTTCTGGGTTCTGGAGTTTTTCAGCTCTCGGCTTACAAAAAGTGCTTTTTGTCCGTTTGTTTTTCCTTGCATCAGCTAGGAGGCAATCTCTAGTTCATCTCGGTTGATCTCAATCAACCAGACAGAATGGGATTTGATTATCATTTGAATGAGAAACTTCCAGAGCTATAAGCTGGACAAGAAAATTGGGGGGAAAAAAGTCTCTGAGGAAAAAAAGGACAAACTATTTCTTTATTGTGGCCAAGAAAACGACAAAGTTGTGTTCCTGAAGTCACCAGGACTTGAACTCAACCTGAAGAAGACTTTTATTTATTTATTTATTTATTTATTTGTTTTTCATGTCATATCGCTGCGTTTTAGTCCCAAAGACTTATCTAACTCATCTTCCTCATCAATCTCTACCGTTCTGTCCTGGAAGATTGACTGTCCTTTGGACAGAAATCTGGGAGACACTGATAATCTGGGCTGTATTCTCTTTATGAAGGAGTGGGGGGGGCGTTTCTAAATTTGATAAATGAAATAAATAAAAGTTTATTTGCTGTGACTTCTAAAAGCCCCAGTGATGGAACTTCTCACGGCCTCTGGGATTCCTAAGAAGTTACAAAATATTTAGAGGGGAATCTAAGGCTAGATAGAGGTTTATTAGTCAGAACAAATACATCTGTCAGCAGGCAGGCAAAAAGGAATTTTCTGAGACTATATATAGAATGTCAACAAGAATATAAGAGATGTGTCTGACATTCTTGTTTACAACAGAGATGCCTTAATTATATCATCATTTTCTGCAAGATGGTAGGAGGACCAAGAGGCATGTTATATTATATATATATAAAGTTTGGCCTTGCATATGTAATGGGTGATTTATAAATAGGTTAACAATTGGATTTCAAATATATCTAATTGGAAATAGTTTCCATTGCCCAAAATGGGAAGCAGAATGAAACTGGTTAAGAATGTGAATCACATACTTGCCACTTATGTTACTGCTTTTTAAAAATTAAGGCCTAGTGGTCTCTCATCTGAAGCAGAACTCTAATGTGGTGAGTAAGTAGATAAGTAGGCTTTACTTTCCTACCGTTAATATGGTTCTGATTGTGGAGTTTGGTCCATGAGGTCTTGGTGCTCTCTGAGTTTGGTGGTTTTCTTGCAGATGTTTCATTATCAAACTAGATAATGTCATCAGTCATCAGGTAACGCTGATGATGTTGCCTAGTTTGGTAATGAAACGTCTGCAAGAAAACCACCCAGCTCAGAGAGCACTAAAGACCCCACAGTTCAAATATGATGAGCTACAAATATGAAGTTAATAACTTTGACAACAAAGGTCGTCAAATGGGACAAATTCATTTAACAACTGTCTTGCATGGCAACAGAAATGTTGGGCTGAGCTGCGGTCATACAGGGAAGACTACCTGTACATTTCCAAATTTGGGGTGAAGATTAGCAACTTAGAGGGCAAATCACGTACTGGAGCAAACTTGGTTTTCAAATGCAACATCTCTGTTTCAAAGTCCTGGAGAATCCTGGCAAAAGCAGCGGGCAGGTAGGAGATGCGGATATTGGCAAAGCTTTCGTATCCATACGTCTTCTGGTCTGGGCCACCATCGTAATGCAGGAGAAGATTGCGGAGCTGTTCGAAGACCTCATCGTGTCCCTGGACCAACTTTTTCAGATATTCAATCTGGCTACTGGATTCCTTCAGCATTTCCTCCTGAAGCAGGCTGGCCGTCTGCAAATCATCCACCGTGGCCCTCAGCCTGCTGTTGTGACCTTCTTGTGATTGAGATTCCTTTCGTCTGCTTATCGGGGAAGAATTCAAACCAAGAAAGAGTGCAGAGAAGAGCAACGAAGAGGATTAGGTGCGTGGAGGCTAAAACATACGAAGAACGGTTGCAGGAATTGGGCATGTCTAGTTTAATGAAAAGGAGGACTAGGGGCGACATGGTAGCAGTGTTCCAGTATCTAAGGGGCTGCCACAAAGAAGGGGGGGTGTCAACCTATTCTCTGAAGCACCTGAAGGCAGGACAAGAAGCAATGGATGGAAACTAATCAAGGAGAGAAGCAACCTAGAAATGTGGAATTTCCTGACAATGAGAACAATAAACCAGTGGAACGACTTGCCTCCAGAAATTGTGGGTGCTCCATCGTTGGAGGTTTTTGTCTGAAATGGTATAGAGTTTCTGCTTGAGCAGGAGGTTGGACTAGAAGACCTCCAAGGTCCCTTCCATGTTATAACAATAGCACTTAGATTTATATACCGCTCCATAGCACTTTACAGCGCTCTCTGAGCGGTTTACAGGGTCAGCCTATTGACCCCCAGCAATCTGGCTCCTCATTTTACCGACCTTGGAAGGATGGAAGGCTGAGTCAACCTTGAGCCGGTCAGGATCGAACTCCTGGCAGTCAGCAGAGTCAGCCTGCAATACCGCATTCTAACCACTGCGCCACCACCACGGCTCTGTTATTCTGTCGTTCAATACAAGTTCAAGAGCTATGAGCAAAAGCTCCCCATAACCGTCTCAACGTGAAAAATTCCGCCAGCAATCGCTGCCTTTGGGACCTTCCTGACACAAGGATAAGGAGAAGCCATGCCATAGTATTTATTGTTCTCCGTCCGGGAAGATGAGCAAGAAAGAGAGACTCGGCATCTTTTAAAATCGTTTTACCAATATCCCATTTAAATCATTTTGGAGCCTAGCCAGACAAAGTAATTGCAAGAAAGATTTACCTGGGAAGGGTGACTCTGTTTGGTTCGGGTTAGGAGAGGACTCACCTTAATTCATTAAGGGAATCTTTCTCTCTCATCGCGTTTTCCAGATTCGTCTGCAGCTCAATAACCGATTGCCGTAAAGCGAATTTCTGTTGCTCATGTTGTTCTGTATTCTACAGGAGATGAAATAAGATGATTAAATAAACGCTGGAAGAATGGGGCAGAGGGAACCACAGAGACAGAAGCAGGGGAGAGATTTTCTGGAACACAGAAATGGAAAGAAAGCATTCCTTAGGAAACTAATTCACTTGGAGCAGGGGTCCCCAACCTTGGCCACTTTATGAGTTGTGGACTTCAACTCCCAGAATTCCTCAGCCAGCCATTCTAGGACAGTGATGGCGAACCTTTTAGAGACCGAGTGCCCAAACTGCAACCCCAAACCCACTTATTTATTGCTGGGTGCCAGGTGGGCGTGGCCTACTGGGTGGGCGTGGCTGTGGTGGTCATGTCAGACTGGGTAGGTATGGCCAAGGTGGGCGTGGTCACCTCGATGTTGCTCATGGGGAGGGACGCCTGTGGAGGCCGGGCAGGGTTGGGGGAGATCCAGGGGGTCTCTGGCAGGTGGGGTGGTGGGTAGGAGGCTTGTCCTGTGGGGTGAGGTGAGGCAGGGTGGGGGTGCCATTATCTCAGGGCAAAGCAAGGCAGGGGCTGGGGCAGCTGCTGCCTGACACCATCGGCCCCCGCGCACAGAGGCCAGCGAGTGCATGGGGGCCGACGGTGTCCGTAGCAGCCACAGCCTGCCGGCCCCTCGACCGGCGCACTCTGGGGCTCTGCAGCGCGCCACCAACAGTTCAGAGAAGTGCCCACAGAGAGGGCTCTGAGTGCCACCTCTGGCATGCGTGCCATAGGTTCGCCACCACTGTTCTAGGAGTTGAAGTCCACAAGTCATAAAGTGGCCAAGGTTGGAGACCTCTGACTTGGAGCTTTCCTGCTACAGGTTGTCCTCAACTTACAACCACTTGTTTAGTGACTGCCGTTACAATGGCAATGACATCAGTGACAGGACCTGTCAGACCTGCCACTACTTAAATAGAAGCGGACCTTGGCTCCATTT